CAGTTCAGTAAAAATAAGTTCAGTTCAGTAAAAATAATTTCAGTTCAACAAAATTAAGGTGAATCAAACAGGGCCTAATACAGAGTATATTGGAAAATTGTTGGAGGTTTGTAGATTTTTTTTTTTTTTGAAAGAAGAGGTTTGTAGATTTTAATTATTGTTAATTATTTATTATTACTAATTAAGTAGATCAGAGCAATCCTGTCAGAAAAAAAAAGAGATCATAGCAGAGCAAAGCAGACCATGTCAAAAGAACGGGGCCTAAGTTGTTTTCGCTGGGCTTTGTTTCAAAATCAAGACACCCTTTTTGGGTAATGATTGTAAAATTATCCTAATTAAATTTCTTGGTTCGTGTTTTCCTCAAAAAAATAATCATTTAAAGTTTCATAATATCAATATTTTTATATGTTCTTAATACGTAGTAACATTTTATGTAATACCCGAATATTTTACGAATTTATATAATATATTATATAAAAAAATTATAGTTTATTTTTATTTATTAAATAACTTTATTTCCTAATCTCATATTTTTATTTAGCGTTCGAGAAGGTTGTAAAACCCTATTTTAATTTAAATAGGACAATATATTCGTAAGGGTATATAAACTATTTCAAACCCTAAAAATAGGCTTATTTATTTGGGAAATTTGCCGGGAATAACACCACCTTTGAGCAGTGTTCCAAAAAAAGCACTGCCTTTCAATTATTCCAAAATAAAACGACCTTTCACATACTTCCGCTATAAATGGTACAAAAAACTTGTAACCTGAATTACAGGTTACACCGTGACACATGTCACAATATCTATGGTTCAATTATATTTTTACAATTTTGATTTTAAATAAAACTAAAAAACTTAAAATTTAAAGTTTTAAACCCTTTGCCCAACCCCTCCCCTGCCAGCCCAACCCCCCTTTGGCCCTTTCCCTGTTTCAGAACCTCCCTCCCCTTCCATGCCCCTTCTCCTTCACTGTTCCCGATTTCAACCCCCCTCTCCTCCCCGTAGCAAATTCAACCCTTAGCTTCTTCTCTTCATTGTCTCCAATTTCAAACTCTTCCCCTTTACACAACCATGACATGAAGAATGTAAGAATAGGTGAAATACTCCCTTGAGGATATTGTCATCCTTCCTTCCCTTTATATAATCGTGCATTACAACCTATAGAATCCACTATATATGGAATACAAGATTACACTTAATTACAAATTTATCACTATCAACTACACTGATTTCTAGGCATAAATTAAGGCTTAAATTATTTACATAATTACGGAGTATATGCTAACAGAGTAACAGGGGCCGTAAATGGTAGCGGAAAAGGAAAGGGGGCCAGAAACGAGGAAGGGAAGGAGAATGGGGGGCCGGAAATGATGACGGAAAAGGGTAAGGGTGTCGGAAGGGGGGATGGGGGCTAAGATGGGGTGGTTTCAGGAGGGGTGAGTCGGTGGGGGTGGTGGTTCCGGTGAAAAGGGTGGCTGAGCAGGGGGTTTATTTTTATTTCTTTGATTTTAAGGTTTATTTATTTATTTTTATTATATTTTATTTATAAATCAAAATTGTTAAAAAAAAATTGGCCAGTAATATTATGACACGTGTCATAGGTAACCTGTAAAACAGGTTACTAACCGGTCACGTACCATTTATAGCGGAAGTATGTGAAAGGTTGTTTTTTGGAATAATCGAAAGGTGGTGCTATTTTGGGAAGATTGCTCAAAGGTCTTGTTATTTTCGACAAATTTTCCTATTTATTTAAACTAATCTACTAGTGCAGCCGTGTGAAAATTGTTTTGCTCTTTGGATTGACTTTGTTGTGTTCGTGCGTGAACTAGCTGCAAGATTCCTCTCTTTGATCTTCCCTTTCAATTCCACCCAATATAAACTCCATTCAACTATTAATTCTCCATCAGTTCTTCTTCAATCCCACCCAATATAAACTCCATCCAACTATTAATTCTCCATCAATTCTTCTATAAACATTCAACTCTTTGAGAGGTAATCACACTGACACACTCGGAGTCGTTTGATAGTATTTTGGTTGTATTGCTTATTATGTGTAATCTCACGAAATTTTGGGATGCTTGTATTATATTTCGTATTATTATGTGTGATATGATTTGTTATTTGTACTATGTATTATTATTATGTGTAGATTTTATAATCGTAAATTGTGTGATCAAGGTTGTATATGTATATGATTGATTATTGGTATTATATGATTTGATTAGATATGAGTATCGTATTACTTTTATTGTTTATGATTGATTATTTCTAGGGTTTTAATGTTGTTGCTATAGGGAGTATTGTTTTATCGAGGTTTAGAGTTATTCATGTAAAGTATTATTTTTGGGTTGAGAATTAATTAATTTTGAGTACTAGTATTAGCCCTATAAGAGTTAAGATATTTATGAATCGAATTGTCATATAATTTGGGGCATGTGCCATTATTGAGATATTATCTATTAGTTGTGAATGATTATTTGATCGATGTATGAGATCAAAAGGTTGAGAATTATATTTTGTTCTTGGTTTGAGGCTCGGCGTTACATACCTTAGTCCTTGGCATGTTGGTAAGAGGATGATAATCATGAGTCAAAAAATGAGGTACAATCTTTATTATTTATTTTTCTATGGTCCCCTACAGTGGGAATTGACCTGTATGTGGTCTGGTTCAAGGTGTTTTCTGGTTATTGAGAGTATTCAAGTTTTTATACTTGTTGGTTTGTTATTCGAATTACCCATGTCCAAGGCTAGGTATAAAACAAAGAGCATGACACATTTATTGGTTATGAGTTAATTGCGTGAAGGGTTGTATTATTATTCGAGGTTGAGTTGATAAAGGTTATTTTTTTCAGAGTAGAATGTGTAATGTAGTTTTGAACTACATTGATTAATTGATGAGCTAGTAATGTTGCTTTTTTTTATATTATTCTTCGTACTCTAATATGTGATGATTACTCAGTTATTTTTTTGCTGACGTGTATGTTATTTTGTTGTGCTACTTGTGTTTGCGGCCATGTCTTTTTCTTATGGTGGCCCTGCGACAATCTATTTTGGAATTTGTCCTTAATGGTGAGCAGTCAAGATTGTAACAGGTTGATCAAGAGATGATCGTAACTAAAGGAGCTCAAGTGTTTCGATTACTTTGTTATAACCAATTTAATTTATAGAGTTGTATAAATAGCTCACTTAGATTTATTTGGTTGTAATTATTGAGATTTTTGTAATCTTTAACACTTGACATGTTGTTGAGTGTGGCGGTAATACCTCTGATTTAGGTGTATGCTTCCTCAATTTTATTTAAAGGTTGTTTATTTTTCCTTTAATTCTTGTTTATTATTAGTTAGTAAATCAAGGGTGTTAAATTTTATGTCAAATTATTTTTCCTTTTCTCAGCTTCTTTTTCAAGCCAAGCCACACATCGCCAACAACCATATATCTACTCCACCTATTTTCTCTCTCCTCTTTGCCAAATTGTTGCAATTAAAGCCCGAAATTGTAGAGATTGGGTGTTAAATTCCTGTGAAAAATTGTGATTAATTATCGTTAAGATCATCAACAACATTTGAAGTAGTGAAATCTTTGAGAACCAAAGAAATGTGAGCTCATTTTCTTCGTGGAATCTTATATCGAACATTCTACGTCAAAAATTATATGGTGTTACTAGTTTGGTCAGGGGTACTTGTAGGTGTTATTGGTCTGGTCAGGTGTTACATGTAGGGTGTTACTGGTTTGGTCAGGGGTTACTTTGTAGGGTGCTACTGGTTTTGGTCAAGGGTTACTTGTAGGGTGTTACTGGTTTGGTTAAGAGTTATTTGTAGGGTGTTACTAGTTTTGCTCAAGGGTTACTTGTAGGGTGTTACTGGTTTGGTTAGAGATTACTTGTAGGGTGTTACTAGTTTTGCTCAAGGGTTACTTGTAGGGTGTTACTGGTTTGGTATGGGGCTTACAAGCAACCGTTGAATAAGTAACAAGTAACCCTTGACTAAGTAATTCATACAAGTAACCTTTGAAGTAACTCATATAAGTAACCCCTGAATAAGTAACTCATACAAGTAACCATTGAATAAGTAACTCATACAAGTAACCATTGAATAAGTAACTCATACAAGTAACCCTTGAATTAACCCATACAAGTAACTCCTGAAAAAAAAAAATTACAAGTAACCCCTGAAAAAAAAATTACAAGTAACCCCTGAAAAAAAAATACAAGTAACCCCTGAAGAAAAAAAAAAACAAGTAACCCCTGAAAAAAAAAATAATACAAGTAACCCCTGAAAAAAAATAATACAAGTAACCCCTAAAAAAAATACAAGTAAATCTTGAAAAAAAATACAAGTAACCCTTGAAAAAAAAATACAAGTAACTCTTGAAAGAAAAAATACAAGTAACCCCTGGAAAAAAAAAATACAAGTAACCCCTGAAAAAAAAATACAAGTCCTGAAAAAAAAAAATACAAGTAACCCTCAAAAAAATACAAGCAATCCTGATAAAACCAGTAACCCCGTTATGCGAGTGAATAGTAACCCCGTTATGCACGTATAATCCGTTATTTTTACTGACTTGACAGCAGACCACACGGCACAAAAAAGCTCTCAATCTCAAAAGTTTTTATTGAAACACATTTCCATTTTTACACTCCATAAAATGAAATAAAAAGTCTACAAAACTTGTATCACTCCTTTTCTTCTTCCCCTTATTCCGTAATCAAAATTTTACAATAAATCCCAACTAAACTCATTAACTAACCCCACATCCCTCAAATGATCAAATCCTCACACGTTATATATTTCACTCACAAAAAAACAATCAAATTAATTTAAAATTAAATACCTAAAAAATACACGGTTTATACTAATGTGTTCTCAAAGTAAGTAAATAAGACAAAACCCAAACTTTGTTATTACTTCTATTATTTATTTAATATAAATATTACTTGTAATAAAAATAAAATAATACTCCATAGAAATATAGAATAGAATAAAATAAAATAATAAAATAAAATCAAAACAACCCTCTTTTCTCACAAACACACAAAAAAATTAGGAGAGAGAAAGCGATAAGACTTGTAAGAAAAAGAGTAGTGTGAAAGAAAAACTTAACTTAACCCAAACTATTCCAAATCCAAAACAAATACCCAATTTTATTTTCTAGTTTTACTCTCTTCATTCCTTTTACTACCACCACCATTTCCACCGCCGTGTAATCCGCTGCTACCTACCCACCGGAAAACAATGTTAATTGATTCTTCACTATTTTTCCTTCTAAAAACTGCATTTTTCTGGGTTTTCTGAGAATTTTTCTGGGTTCGATTTAATTTACTCTAATTTTACTGGATTTGTCTTTACTCATCCGATCTCACTTCTAGCTTTTCTGAGGTGCTTGCAGAATCTATCCCCTTTTTAATTTGCATTTTTTTTCTAGTTGTTTAGTGTACTGTCTTTATTTTACTCTTTTTTTGGCTGCTATTTGGAAAAATTCAGCTTTTCTTGTAATTTGCCTTTTCCCCTTTATTTTTTTTAATTTATTAATAATAATAGTTTTTTTGTTTTTTTTGGGCTGGTTATCATTGTATACTTTACCGATTATGCAATTGTGGGTAAAATCAAGCTAATTTTTTCAGTTTTTAGTGGCTAGATTGGAATGCGGGTTGAGTAATTTGGGGATTTCTGGGATTTTTTTTTTAATTTTTTTTTTTTGAGATTTCTGAAATTTGATGTGTAATTTTTACTGGGTATGTTCTTAAATTTACTGGGTATGTTCTTAAATTTACTGGGTTTGTGCTTCAACTCACTCCAAATATCACTGAAAAGGTCTCAATCAACCAATTTTTTACTGGATCAATTCTTTTCTTTTTTCTTTTTAGTTTTTTAATTTTTCAATATGAATAGTATAGTTTGGTTTACTTTTAGTTATGATTTGTTAATGATTACAATATTGGGGTTGTAAAAGTTCCCAGAATCAAGCTAATTATTATTTTTTTCATGGTGGTTGGATTAGAATGTGGGTTGAATAATCATGCTGAAGTTGGGTTTTATTTATTTAAATCTATTATAAATTTTGTAGGATGGTCGTTGATTGATTTCCTTGAGATTTACGCTGGCGGGTAGTTGGTTTTCTATTTAGCTTTGATGTGAAATATCATTTGGGTATACAGTAGAAATCAGTGGATTAGTCCCTATAATTCTGATTAATCTGCAAAATTCTTATTTTATTCTTCTATGCTTTTGTTCCTGTTTGTTCCCTGCCTTTTTTCTGGGAGTTTTATCAGCTGACACTGAGAGGTCTTTGTTGAGGAGGAGGTTTATATGGGGTTTTGTTTTCCTGGATACAAGTTGTGGGCATTGTATTTGATCTTTCTCGAAACTTACCCATCTGTGTTTTGAACTAAATTCGAGATGTTTTACCTCTTATTCTTTGCTGTCTGAGCTGCTGTTTGTTCTTTCATTCTATGCGGGGGATGTCGAGTACATGCATTTGTGATGGAGAAGGTTGCGACTTTGTTAGTACTTTCAATGGTTACAGTTTTTATGTGATACTTGATCTTAGTTATTCTGTGTGTTTTGTTTTGGTGTGCAAAATTTATGTATGAATTGATGCATTGTTTTTCTAAGGGCTGAAAGATCATAAATTTGAATACAATGTGTTAGATGCTCTGATTTGGTTCTTTGTTTGCCCTGTAAAGTGATTTCACATTGTGCTTCGGCTACTACTATCTGATATAGAGGGATTAAGGTTTGAAACATGTTGTGGCAGGTGCTCAAATGAATGGGATTCAACTGAATGGTAAACCTCGTGGTTCTGAGAAACCTGTGCCAGGATGTTTGGGAAGAATGGTCAACCTCTTCGACTTAACTTCCAGCATGTCTGGAAACCGGCTTCTCACTGACAAGCCATATAATGACGGTGATTACTTTTACTCATACTGTCAAATATTGTTTCTTTGGCAACCAACTTATATGTTAACTTAGGCTTGTAAAAGTTTAGCTTGGATGATGCGAAGTCCAAGTTTCTTGGCTTAATTACATGCAGGGGTGCACCATACTGCTTTTTTGTAGCATGCTAGCATCAATTGAGCTATCATGAGTCCATGTCCATTATTTGTAATATGTGTTAATCTTAGTTTATGCAATTATGAAGCTGTTTAAAAAAAAAAAAAAATGAAAATTAGAATTTCATTTGTTTCTTGAATGTTAGCAAGTTTCTTCTTCTTCTTCTTCTTCGGTTTTTTGTAAATAAAAAAAAAAAATATATCATTTAATATCATTTGAACATGCTATATGTTTATCCTGACCTGATTATTTACATCTTCTTCTACTTGATATATATATATATTGTCATTCATTGCTGCTTTTGTGGAGTTTGTGCTGTCAAATTATTATTTTCCTCATAAAAAAGGTTGCAAATCTATATATTGGTTAAAGACTATGGGGCTAGCTCTAATGACAATAAGCTGATTAATTTTCAGGTTCTTTATCAAGATGTCGATCTGATGTCTCTAGGATGTCGAGCATTAACGCAGATGAGATGGAAGATAAAGTGGTAAATAGAATATTTTTGTGATGTTTAATCGATTCATTTTGTTGCCCCAAATTTTTGCATAATTATCATGTGTAGCAGTGTAGTCAAGTTTGTATTCTAATCTTATTATTGTGGTTTGTTTGATTTTCAGATGGTCTCTGACTTAAGGAGGTCTTCATCGAACAGAAAAACTAATGGAACTCCTGTAAAAATGTTAATAGCTCAAGAAATGTCAAAGGACTTGGAATTAAAACAGAAGCCACCTAATGTGGTAGCAAAGTTGATGGGACTTGATGTGATTCCTCAGCAACAGCCTGATTTTGCTCCCCAGAGGATTCAATCAAGAGGTTATTATCGAACAAGTCATTCAGAGATACCAGTAGGATATTGGCAAGAAGAACCAGACTTTCTCAACAAGCAAATTGATAGTGAGGCTTATCCCTATCGAGATCAGGATGAATATAAAGACATATATGAGATCTGGCAGCAATCTCAAAGAACAAACTGTAGAAGAGATAAATCTCCTCAAAAGGGTAGATTTGCTGAAAATGTGAATGAAAAAAAGTTGGCACTCATTCGTCAAAAATTTATGGAAGCAAAACGTCTTTCCACAGATGAGAAGCTACGACAGACCAAGGAGTTCCAAGAAGCTTTAGATGTGTTGAGTTCCAACGGTGACTTATTTCTCAAAGTTCTTCAAGAGCCAAATTCTTTGTTTTCTCAGCAGTTCATTATTGGGGAATCCATCTCTCCATCTCCAGAAACCAAACGTATTACTGTCCTTCGACCTTCTAAAATGGTGGGCGATGACAAATTTGATGCACCTGCTAAGAGGAACGAAAAGCAAGTAAAGAAGAAAGTTTCGTTAAACCAGGTCAATGCATGGGATAACCAGCATAGGGGATTTCCGCCTACTATATCGTCCTGGAAGGTTAGTGATAGTCCTCCTATTCAGCCCACCCGAATAGTGGTGCTGAAACCTAGTCCTGCTAAGGGTAATGAACCTAAGGCAGTAATCTCTTCAACCCCATCCTCTCCGCGGGTTCTACCGAGTGAAAGTTTCTTTGAAGAACCAGAGGATGAGGAGGCCCGAGAAGCAAGGGAAGTGGCAAAGGAAATCACGCAACAGATGCGTGAGAATCTGGCAGGTCATCGAAGAGATGAAACATTACTTTCTTCCGTATTTTCTAATGGCTATACAGGGGATGAAAGTTCTTTCGAAAAATCTGAAAATGAATTTGCCGCTGAAAATATTAGTGATTCTGAAGTTATGTCGCCAACGTCAAGGCATTCTTGGGATTATGTCAATAGATTTGGTAGCCCATTTTCTTCGTCATCTTTCAGCCGTGCATCTTATTCCCCAGAGTCGTCAGTTTGTAGAGAAGCCAAAAAGAGACTTTCTGAGAGATGGGCCATGATGGCATCACATGGAAACAACAACAATAATAATCATGACCAACGGCACATTCGAAGAAGTTCCAGTACGCTTGGTGAAATGCTCGCACTTTCTGAGATCAAGAACTCTGAAATATGTGAGGTTGAGGACAACAATAAAGATCAAGATCCTAGGGGATCAACTTCATGCTTGAATAGCAATATGGATGCAAGAGAATGTGGTTTTGATTCTCCCAAGAATCTTTTGAGATCAAAATCAGTCCCTGTTTCATCTACAGCTTATGGAGAAAGGCTGAATGTTGAAGTTGCCAATCCGGCACATTGCAAGGGGGATTTTTCGAAGGAAATAATGAAGGCAAAGGCATCAAAAACCTCATTCACTGGGAAGGTCACAAGCTTGTTTTTCTCAAGGAATAAAAAGTCTAGGAAAGAGAAGTCCAATAAATCACTTTGTAATGATGAATCTCAACTGGCAGCAGCCGAAACTCCTGGAGTCCTGGCACCTCCTGGAAGAACTAGCAATGATCACTCTGAGGGTGTTCTCTCTCCAACTTCGCGGTTGCATAGTGGGGCTGTTATGACAAATCTTAGTGATACAAGACTTGGACAAGGCATTTCTTCTCAGCAGGTAAATATGATTCCTATATGACTTGTAGTCTTGTATAATATATGCCTTGCTGCTTTTGCATTACCAATGCTTTATCTGAAAGTTTTTTTTTATCTCATGTTTAAATCATTAAATAACTTCTGTTTGTGATTATTAAATAACTTCTGTTTGTGATCTGGTTATGCCTTTGAAGTTTTTGCAATCACAAATAGCATTTTTATAAGTATATTCTGTGGTTTTGTAGGGATTTGCTGTATCCCAGCCAGGGGCACCTGTAACTCAAGGGGAGAATCAGGAACAACAACCTAGCCCTAACTCAGTCCTCGAAGGTCCGTTTGAAGAGGATGACAGTGCCTTACTTGGCTGTTCTCGTAGCATTGATTCTCATTTGCATGGTATTTAGCTTTTCTGTATTTTGGACATGATTTTTTGTGTTTACTGCCAATTATCACTGACCAAAAATTCCTCATTCGTTCATAAAACAGGAGAGCATATTCCTCTGAGTCTTGGCAAGTCTAATTTGATTGATAAATCACCACCAATCGGATCAATTGCAAGGACCTTATCATGGGAAGAATCCTTTGCAGAAACGTCCACCAATTATCCTCTAAGTTCTCCATTTGTATCCCCAGGAGCAGAGGATGATGAGGTCGAATATCTTTACTTAGTTCAATCCCTACTAACGATGGCAGGTCTCAATGATGAGGGACAAGTGGGTTCAAACTTGGCCAGATGGCATTCCCCGGACAGCCCATTAGATCCCCTCTTGAGAGATAAGTACATTGACCTGACCGCCAAGGAGCCACTACACGAAGCGAAAAGGAGGCAGCTAAGATCATGCAGAAAGCTCGTATTTGACTGCGTTAATGCGGCACTAGTGGACATTACGGGTTTTGGAACCACTGCTAGCCATTGGGGTGGATCATGTGTTAGGCCTAGCCATGGGTGCTTGGAAAGTGACACAGGGACAGCATTGACAGACAAGGTGTGGTCCTGGATGAAGGAATTGTTGCCCGGCGAGGTCAAGTTCCTTTCAATTGATTGTGGGGACAACCACAGTTTGGTAGAGAGGCTGGTGAGGAAGGAAGTTACAGGGAAAGGGTGGAATGATCAAATAAGATTACAAGTTGACAGTATCGGCAAAGAAATTGAAGGGAAGCTTCTTGAAGAACTTGTAGAGGAGTCTGTTGTTGAATGGACCAGCTGAGAGCGCGAAGAAGGGTGCTTTTTTCATCCCTCGTTTTTTCCCCGTAATCTTTGTTTATTACATCCTAATTAAATTATTATTCCAAGTTAATTATTTTGTGTATCAATGATAACTAACTCAACATTGCTAATCTGTTTTTACCCCCTCATTTTCCTGATCTGTTTAGATGGAAATTGTTGCAAAAATGTGTATTTATTCTGGGTTAATTATATATCTTTTGTACTTGAGATGGAAAGATAAAATAGAGGTATTAAGATCTGTTTCTTGTCATCTGTCCCCATCATTTTATATCCCTAGCATATGTCATGTTTGGTGGCATTAAATGATCTTGAATTGCTCACTTTTTTTTTTAGTTTTTATTTTTTAAGATTATATCATCTGTTAGATTTATAATTTTCAAAAAAACTATCAACCTTTGTATTCTCCAGGTTCGTGCTGGACTGTTGGGTTACTTCAGGTTCGATACAATAACTTCAGGTCGGGTTGGTAGGCTGGTAGGCGGTAAGAACCATGGGTTCTCTTGGTCTCGCGTCCAAACTATCCAGCTTTGGCTGTGGATTAACCGAGGTCTAATTTGGAGCAGACTTGGACCAACCCACCCCTAGTCGTATAAACCGAATTTTAAATTTAAACTTTCATCATAGTATTACAAATGTGCAATAACAATAAAAAAACAACAAATTGGGTTGGTGGGTTTAGAAGCAGAGTTGGTTCATCAGTATTCGGATTTACTTGTATGAATCTGTGATTGGAATCAGTTGTTTGGTGAACCGGGTTAAAGAAATGAGCGCCTCAAATAAATTTCAAATTATGATATAAATACAAAGTACTATCTCCGTTACATATTATTTGCAACGATTTAAGATAAAGTAGAGAGGAAAAATGTCTAATCGTCACAAATAATATATAACGGAGGTAGTATAATTTAAAGAGTGAAGTTTACCTCAGATTTTGGGAATACTTGGTAAATCTATCTAATAACTCCAGAAATTTGAAAATTAATAGGATTTGCAATGTGTCAATTGGCTTGCTTGTCATTGTGATTAGTGTTTGTCTATTTAACATACAAGTGTGCTCCAAGCGATTTACCAATTTATTTCTTATGATTTTGAATACTCATAAGTCATAACTAATAACTGGGATTTATGTGTGTTAGGAAAAGTTAAAAAAAAATAAAAAAAATAGTACATTTATTTTTTAGAAAAGAAACAAACAAAAGTATTAAGTGTTACCAATAAAATAAAAAGGTTATTTTCTCCCTTATTTATACTCGCATACTACTAGAGGGTGAACCAGATGGAACATCAAAAAAAAAAAAAAAAAAAAAAAAAACAGTATTAAGAATTTAAGATGTAAGAAGTTCTTTTGTCCATTTTTTATAAGTTAACAGTACTATTATAGTATTATGATATCATATACTTGTATATGAATAATTGAATAGAAACACTAAATTTGAAGGGAAATTGTAATTTTTTTACCGAATATTTATTTATTTGAAGGTAATTTGTACGAGTAATTTTTTATTTTTGAAGATAATTTGTACTCCATACTTCCGTAGTAGTGGTAAAGAAAGTGCTTTAATTTACTTATATACTGAATATTCATTTGATTTTATTAAAGTGAATATTCATAATTCATTCATTTGATTTCTTACCTCCCTAAACGAGTAAAAGTTTTTTTTTTTTTTTGAAACAAAATACAGCTTTAATTAAAAGTCTCAAAGGGTCATTATATTCATTAATGAAAATTATGACTTGGACCAAATTAGTTATTATATTGACAGTACAACACTACAACTGTACAGTAGCAACTAGCAATGTTTAATTTAATTTAAATTAATTAGTTACAGATTATATATTGATTGTAAAAATACAGATAGATACAATTTTCTTATTTCAAATTAAATAAATTCAATGCAAAGTTAACTACTACACCGTACTACATTCGTGTGAATACTGACTAAGCTTTAACTTTTTTTTTTTTTTTTTTTTTTTTTTTTTTTTTTTTTTAATGTAAGAAAGTCTACCGTAACCTTCATTATAATGAAACAGAGCAAAAGTCAAAGTTAAAAATAAATTTATTAATAAAAAAAGTGCTAATTGTAGATAGATGCAAGAGTCAACAGCTTAACAAAAGCCAAACAAATGAGTAGTAAATGATTATGTACTTTACAGGAAGTTTATTTCTCCAATCAGAAAAATTATTATATTAAAGGATAAAAAAAAAAAGTTATAAAAATGAAGCCATGCACATGACAATAATGGCCAAATTATTTGGTAGGTGTTATATTGTCTGTGGTTGCATTTCACCACCACCTTATATCTTTCAATAGGAAAATACCTAAATTCTACATTAAGGTTTTTTTTTTTTTTTTTTTTTTTTTTTTTTTTTTTTTTAGCTCAACACATGAACAACAAAATATGCAAAAGATATTGAAGTAGATAAATGGACAAGTCATTACTTTTTATTATTCATCATAAGGAAAATAAATGTCAAGGCGTTATAGTTTAAATTGTTCTAATGAAAAATGTATTTCACATGTGTTAGATTTTTTAATCTTTTTCTTAAATTGTATTTCTATATGATGAGTTACAAGTAAAAAGAAATGGAGCGGAATTGGGTAATAATGAGTCAAATGTTCAATATGATAAGTGACTGTATTATTGCAACTTCTACTACACAATATAATGTGCATGAGATATGGCATATGGGTATGTTTTGGGACCTTCAATTTTGCAAGTTATATCAATAACAAATTTTTTACTGAGGTATGGCTTTAAAATGTTTTGTTGGTAAATTTTGATGTCTCAGAGAACTCTTTGCGCATAGCTGTTTACTTGCCTTGTAAATAGCATGAATATGACAGAAGAGTCGTGGATGATACATGAGTTGTAAATATGAACATAGGTATATAAAATACCTTTAAATAGGTAAATAGTATCATTAAATGTTTTAGGGTCTGTTCACATTTACCGAATAGAGCTGAACTGAACTGAAATGAACTGATTGGAGCTTAACTGAACTGAACTAAATTCAATTGAACTGACTGGAGTTGAACTGAACTAAATTGAACTAAGCTGAAATAAATATTTTATGACAGAGGGAAATTAGGAGTTGAACTGAACTGAACTGAACTGATTGGAGCTGAACTGAATTAAACTGATTAGAGCTGAACTGAACTGAAATTAAGTAAATGTGAACATGCCCTTAGTACTATAAATGTTTTTCCCTTAGTACTATAAATGTTTTTCTAGTGGTACATATAAGTATATAAATTGTACATCAAATATTGTATCATTGTTACCTATAAATATGATTCCTGAGACAACATGTACTCTTATAGTATAATATGCATGTGTAATAGTACATCAAAAATACAAGTGTAACCATAAAAATTACAAATATCATCCAATGTGATACGAATTTACAAGTTAGTTCTCCTATATTTATCCCAAATAAATAGTTGCTATGCGCTTAAGTGCACTCCATAAATATTACTCCGTAGTAAGATAAGTATGTTATAAATATTGTAAGATAGGTGTAAAGTTATTTTCTACTCGTAATTTTTTTTCTTTTTCAAATAATTAATTCGTTAATAAAAAGTTATATGACATTTACAAATGAAATCTAACATCTTCTTTGCATTATTTAACGACTCCTCGTTAGCAAAAGTAAAATTATTTTTAAATGATCAAAAGACAAAACTCACCCAAACATAGTTAAAGCCACTTTGTTTTCTTTAATCCTTTGTTTTTGCTATCCCATTATTTACAGATTTAAGAAATTTAATTGATGGACTAACTAGCAAGTCCAGAATTCATGGAGTATTATTTAATAACAACATGCAATCAACTTCATATGAATTCACGGATTTTATTTTTTATTTTTTATTATTATTTTTTTTTATCAGAAGCCTGACTAGAAGAGTAACAAAAACAATTGAATTAAATTATAAATCACCGATTTTTGTTATCATTACATTTGTTTTGTTGTCCATTTATTTGATTATGCTAAAGTCTTGTAATCTTAGCAAACCCCACCATTTAAAAAAAAATATATATGTATATTTGTAGTGACTTAATGAGTATTTGCCTTTTAAAACTTGGTCCTAAAGTGTTGCCTTTTTACAAGAAACTACCAAATCCATTAATATATATAGGCCTACATTAGTTAATTTTTTTTTTTTTAATTACTTTGTTTGGAATTTTGCTAGTTAATTTAGAGGGCCTACATTAAAACCAAAAAAAAAAAAAATATTAAATGGTAAGAGAATTATCAATGTGTAATTTCATTTTTTATGAGGGTTTAAAGAATGATTATTAATTAATTTGATTTTCTTTTTTAAAATTTTCCGATAATGATTAATTTGGGGTCCACGCTCGAGAAATAGTAAAATTAAAGAAAATGATTCTTGCACGAAATAAAAACATTCTTATGCAAAATGAGCATATAAAAATCACATTATTATTGATTAGAGGTACCAAAGTATTAGTAAATCATAGACGATGTGTTTCGTGCCTTTATGTGTTGTGGTGATGCCGTGATGATTATTGGCGGTCTACTCCTACGTTGTCAAATGATTTTCCAATTTCCATTTAGGTATGTTCTTCATTGATATATCTAATTACCGCCTCATACATTCATTTATGTTGCTTTCTAGTTCTAGTATACCAAACGGCTAAAAAAAAAGTCTTATTTTCTCTTGTTGGTTTTGTTACAATAAATAAGAACATCATTTAAGAAATGCCAGAACAAAGAGTAGTTCTTTAACTAAGAAATAATTTACGTAATTATTACTTGGCATAGAAGTTCATTCACAGTAAACATGTAATTTTTTTTTTTTTTATGATTTTATTCCCATAACTAAGCATCCCTAATTTCGTAATCCTACTAACTAAGTAAACTTTGATTGTGCTTAAGAGTTCATCAAATATTTGTCATAAGAGGGGCATGATCATGTGATACGACTCTACGAGTATGATTTTGATACTTCTAATTTTCTGAATACACAACAGCCTAACCATCGAACTAATCCTGATACATCAATATAAGCAAGACATGCACACGAATCAACTCATCGAGTAACATTTTGAGCCTCTTCAATGTAATAGCCACTCTTCGAAATTATGGTCCCAGAAGAACTAGAAGGGATCTAGAATTAAAGAAGAAAAAAAAAAGCAGGACAAAGTTGCAGGTGCAAAATGAATGTACGAGGGGTTACAGACTTGCAGTACAGTGACTTCTGTGGGCCTATTTTGTTCTGGGAACGATATCATTTCGATGGGCTAACCCAGCTGTCTGAAAGAGATGTATGCAAATCTTGCTTCTTAAGCTAAACATGCACAATTCTATCAACTACTTTAATAAAACCTTAACTAGAATTTGCAGGTAATTAATAGCTTCATAGAGGTTGCTCTTTATCAGGCAAAGAAAGAAACTGACTCGTGAAATTAACCAACTGTAATTGCAAGATTTACAACCAGACTGTTATCGAATTAGTTCTGAAGTTTTTACTCTGCATCTCCATCTATTTGACAAGTTAACAATAGTAGTGATAAGCAGATACATTACAAGCTTAATCAGAGAGTAGTATTTATTCTTTCGTATACCCTGCATACAGTAGAAATCGCTTGATTATATATTTAGCCATCAGGGGGGAAGAGGGGGTGGTGGTTGATCGGTAGTTGTATGGATATAAATGAAGTAATAAAACAGTCTGTTATAATGGTGTTCACAAAGTACATTTGAGTGATTCCAGATGTTCAGAATGAGACTGCTTACCAGAGTACAACCTCCAGCAAAAATTTCTGCGTAGTCTCATAAAAAAAACTTCTGCGTAGTTGATTGATTAAGGACATGAAAAGGAGTTAACAGGATTGCTTAAATAAGGCAAACAATGAATGACCCATGAATTTATGACTTTCCTAGAGTTCATGAGTGTGCGTACAACAAAATACAGCTGCAAAATTGCAAGTCTTTTCTCCCAGAGTCCCAGTTTTTCCCTGACAATTTGCAGTACCTAAAAAATGATTTTTTTTTTTTTTTTTCTTTCTAAAATTCCAAAACTTCACACAGAAGTACTTACGCCGTTCAGTAACTTCAAAAATGGGGAATAGAACACCGCTTGATTAGATTTATATCACAACAGGCCGAAGGCTATTTCCAGGAATCACAAGAAAAAATGAAGGTTATTGGATAACTGTACACTGAGAAGGTCAATTAGCTCTGCTCCGAACATGAAAATTACAACTTTTTTTTTTTTCTTCAGGATGATGCTTATTGAGAATTAGGAGTTTGCACTAGATGATGCATTCAGAGACTGGTTTTGGGATGATTCATTGTTCAGTCCATACTGTAGCACATTAAAAAAAATGATCTTAGTATACCCCAAAATTTAGATGCAGGGACAGCATGCTCCATTGGCAGTGCACATTGAATATAATTCCAAATAAAATAATTTGGAAAGACATTGCGCCACAATACAAGTATGAATAGTTGATACACAAGAGTAGTACAGCTACCACAGTAACTACAACATATGCTTATTCAAGAATCTATATGCTTGAAGCAAAACAAGAATAATGGAATGAAAAACAAGAAAAGATATTCCAAGTATACTGATTTCATCTCTAAACACAACAGGTACTAGTTGTATCTAAACAATATTTCCGTATAGAAAGATATTCATGAAAAATTCTAGAAACATTGCCACAGTTCAGTGCAATATGGCTAGTTGTGAATATTAGCACACATAATAATTGTTATGTGAAGGGAGTTAGCCAGTTAGGAAAAGGGTTTAAAGGACAGGTAAGCCAGGGACAGGAGAAAACTTCATGCCCGGGGGTGCCAATTCATCAAGCATTACCAAGTCATGTATGTGATTAATAATCTCTGGATATATTTTGTCTTGGGAATCCTAATCACATTTAAATGAGATATATATTTGGTCACTTGATGAAGATGGTATCAAACAGGGCAGTTATTAATCAATTTTTTCTATATAAAGCATAATCAAACTCCATTCCTCATATCCAGCATATATTTAGTCTGAAATCATTTAGATAAAAAAAATTGGTTTTTCCATTTCTCATATCTAGCAAATTCAATAGCACTAATCAAGAAGCATCAAAACATGTGTTATACCACTTCAGCAAAAATTATAAAAGGTAAACTCCCAACAGCCTATCACTTCAGAATCTCAGCCTGTCAAGACTCAGGAATTATGTACTCAGAACAACTTAATAAGAATTCCAGTAGAAAAACAAAAAAAGTATCATTAATGCAAAAAACTCATAGCTTCCTTTAAAGCAAGTACCTTCTGTCTTATCCGGGTCGTCCACATGTCAGAAAAAGTTCCCCTTCCTTCACCCTTCAACGACGATTGATTTGATTGAGAGTAAAGTAGTGGCTCCCTTATTCTACCTCTTCCAGCAGCATTACCATCCTCAAGATCAGAGTCTTCTCTTGGAGTATGAATCATAGCTCGTAGGACCAAAGATAACAGGACCGACAATGCCTAAGTAAAATAATAAATGGACTAAACATGGTCAGAGAACTGAAAGCTTGAAAACCAAATGGTACAAATGCAGTAAAGTCCCAAAAGATATCGACATCATATAAAAGCCAAGTATCATTCTATGCAGGACGTCCCAAAATAAACTACAAATTACTGTATTGGACTGTACCCAAAAAAAACTCTGTTTTGGAAAAAGGTTTCAAAGCAATGAGCCAATACGGCTATACACGAGGCTCATCCCCTCCCTTTTCAGCTAGCGCGCACTACATATGTTATAAGCAAATGGTTTAACTAAAATAATATTTTCCCCTTTTATCTCTACCTCAAATCAACCCTGTTTTTTCTTTCTATATCATAATACTTACTGTTCTTAAAGAAAGTGCAAAAGGGAACTAACAAACTTATTAGGGACAGAGAGCGTAGTAATTCCATTTGTATTCAGCTGCACAAGTCTGTTCATGATGTTATGACACGATACATATAGTGACAGTAAGAAAAGAAATGTACAGTTCAATACTCCTTGCTAAGGTTTGAAATCTATTATGAGTTTTGATCCCAAAAAATGATTACCATCATAAAACTCAAATGATTTTTAGATTGCCGCCTTGGTACAAATATGCACACCGATTCATAAATGTCAACAATCATGAGGTGTGTAATGCCATCATTACATGATTCTTGAATTATTCACATCTTGACTATTGGCTAGGAAATATATAATGACAGTAACATTTCTCTTTCCCTTCATGTAAAATTTCAGTTGTATTTCCTATCCTTCCTAAATGATCACTCCCTCTGTTTTTTCTTCAGTGTCCTGCGTACAGTCTGCAAATTTTGTGAAAACTTTTCACTGGTACTTGTTTAAAATTAGAAGTGGTAAATTTCAAACAAAAAAAGGTTTTAATGTACATCAATTTTATAGTACTACCATTCATTGGATAACCTTCATATACAGTTATACCCTTTCCTTCAGTGTGAATCTCAAATGATTTCCTATAAGCAGTCAATATACTGCTTGATTCTATGTTATCACTAATGTATAAAAACATGTGAAGACGGAACATTTTTTTTTCAATCTGAAACTCCCAGTAGCACAAAACTGTATAAAATCATGCAAAAGCTAGTTTCTAGTACATATGCAGTATGTATAGCTAACAACTATGCATATGTGAAAAGAGACCACTTTCTAGTGGGTGAAAGGTGGAAAGTAAGAATCATTGTATACATGACAATTATCAAAATCTACAAGACACAAATGAGAAAAAAAAAAAAAAAACACATAAGGTCTACAGTTACATGATGCAGCAGGACCAATGAAGAAGAGATGCATAAATACAACATGGGAGTATGGGACAGGTCCAACATGCATTGAGGCGGTATCATTGCACATAATTGCAAGCTGAGAACAATACAAAAAAGTATATTTATGATCAATTCCATAATTCCAAAGCACAAGGCTATTAATATTGAGGAATTTTACAATGGTTATTATTTCAAAGGGGGGAAAGATGTAAGAAAAAGAAATCAACTACAGTAGCAGAGAAAGCGCATCTCAAAGAAGTTTCATCATTGAATGCTGCAGGGGCCCAGAAGAAACATTTTGTGTATTATTTTACTACTTCAATGTGCAGTACATAGCAAGAGTATTTAAGAAAACACAGAGTGCTTGGGCCATTTTTTCTTTATTGCATGTCCTCAGTATTCAAGTATCCAAACCTATTCAACATATTGAATGCACAACATTGACAAAAAAAACCATCCTCAAATTCTTCAAGCTTTTTTCTCCTCAGGTAGGTGGTTTTCTACCTCAATTCAGACAATATAACTTGGACACCTCACAACCATGGAACAGAAGCTTTCATTCACTTCTCAGTATACCGATAATGGAAAGATATTCCAATTCCAAAAGCCCTTGGAGTTTCATGTTTGCAGAACTGCCATATTATATTTCCAACTCAAGCCTCTTTCTGCAACACTGGCTCATCCTTAGCGTGCCATAACTTCCATCTTGAATGTTGGACTACTCTTGCATTCCTTTGACAAATGTCTTACTAACAAACAGTATATAGTTTAAGCTCTACACTACAATAATCTATCTCATAGTAAATGCATTGTTTACCCTCTAAACCATAACATAAAACTTTATTCTTAATATTCTTTGTCAATATCTTTAATTATCCAGTGCTCTAGAACAGCTATCCAGATGATTTAACTCATTGAAGTGTCCCATTATGAGAATTCATCCTCATCTTGACAAGTAGGAAGTTCTGACGCATGCATGGCAGCATGGGCTGTTAGCATATATGATAAACAGTACCACAAAATTATAGAGCTCAAAATATGAACTCTGAAGAATTAAACTCTTCTCAATGCAATATATATGCACCATCCTAAATTCTGGTTTATCAACAACTCTTAATCAAAAGAGCTTCACCACTTTCCATTATCATGCCCCCATTTTCAACAAGGAATCACATTTGTGTTCCTTTCTTGATTGTTCACAACTTGTACATCAACTCATCAACCAACTTCACTTCTCAAAGGTGCTCTCACTATTCCATGCTTATTCAACCTCCTTCCAACAGCAAATTTTATTCAAAGAGTATATGCAAGTTATCCAACTTATCCAATTCAAAATCCACAAATACAAGTTTAGGTTGTGTTATGCTGAATAATTAAGCCTCATAAAGAAAGCTTATTGCTGTCAGGGGATCATGTCTTGATTCAACCTCATATTATAATCAAGTTCTCGTTAGAGACACTTATAACTTTTGGTCTTATCTTCTGTTCAAGAAATAACACATCCTCATCAATAAAATCAGTGTAAACTATAGAGACAATACTTTCCTCCCCTATTTCTGTAGTGGAATTATTGAAAATGAACTATGATCCAATTGTCAAAAGAATGATATACCTGGACACTGAGCAAAGTTAGGCCAAGCCACTTGCATATATCAATATTCTCTTTTACAAAAGATTTAAGCTTCTCAAGCTCCCCAGTTGGATCATATGGAAGATCCTGAACAACAAAGAAAGACAAGTAAATATGCTATGAGTATAGACCCAAACAAAAAAGACCTTTAATATATGCATCATACAGGTGCCACTGGTTATTTAATTGTGTTAAATGAACTAACCTTGTCCCAATGTTGATCAATTGCAATAAAAACCACAGCAGCTGCTTCAAGTAATATTAGCAAAATTGAAAGGAAAATGTACTGAGGAATTTAAATGTTAAGGAAATGTCACATAACTACCGGACAAACACCTATTCTATTTGCTTTTCACTATATCGTCTAAATTGTACCCTGTATCAAACAGCAGAGAGATGTTCAAGGCAGTAATGAGTATCACATGCCATTAGAGCGACATATAGTAGCATTGAAGAATCTAAAACATATTATAGAACATTAAATGTTTGACTTATGCCTGCTACAAAACAATTCACCATTTGCTATAAGTAGGCATCAGATTATTTACATTTGTCCAAGGATACAAAGCAGAGGCAACATCCATTGAATCCTTCAGCTGCAATGTGACCAATGCAAGACATGCAGCATAGTATAACACCAACCACCATTAAAAAGTATATGAACCTGCCAAAAAAAAAATCCCGATGAAACCCATACGTTGCTCAATCACTGTGGCTTCTCTATCAATTCAGGGAATACAATTTCATGTAATTAACCAGTAATGACACATTTGAGTAGAATAATTATCTCAAATGAAAGGTATAAACTTATGATAAAGAAAGATGATTACTAATAAAGTAATAATTGTACACTACTGCTTGAAAAAATTGCTCTAGCTTCAACCAACAAATTTCTGTCATTGTTTGATTACAAAAGATTGTCCATTAAAGTGGCTTTGGCAACTTAAAATTGTTTTGTCATCAAACAAGGAAGATATATTTATCATACAATAAGCAGAAAATTCAAATCAAGAACAATGCATGTAACACATGAGCAAAATAGAGGAATACAACTACAAATCTATTTTAATGGAAAAAGAACAGCATTAAAGTAAGGACATTATAAATATTGAAAGAATATGAAATCCATACTGAGGTAACTTTGGTTCCCTTACAGAGTTTACAAAGTTGAGGTACTGAGAAAACCCTAAAGCAAAACTCCCAACCCCTAGAGTTACTAACAGCCAACCAGGCAGAAGTGAGGTATATGTCATTTAATTATAAAAGTCAGAAGGTTAGTATGTGTATATAGATACCCTTGGTAGCAGTGCTATGTACCCTCAATATTCAGAAGAGGCAAACTTAATCTTTTAAGATATAAATGACAATTTCTACCGCCAAGTTGGCCATCATAGAGAAAACTTTCATACTTAATAAATCAGCTAACAAGAATGTTTCTCTTGTTTCCTACATCCCATCTCTCACTTTCCAGCAAATCCGCTTGGCAATGGCAGAAATTTAATGTCGACCCATTATTTCTAAACTTGTCAGAAGTTGATAAGCTATTTATTAGTGCTGCAATTAAGTTGGTTCATTATCAATACAAATGAAAGTGCTCTTTCTGTCATTCCTAACAAGATAAACTGATATACATGCACCAGATATGGTTGGCCAATTTACAATAGGCGTAGGCAGAAGCACTAACGCTTTGAATTGTCCTACTCCCACCTTCCCTTCTAGTACAATCCGACCACCCAATCGTAGAGCCTATAGTTGAATGGTTTCGACTTTCAAGCATTCGGCCACTTATCATAAACTAATTAATGAATGAAAGAACACAGCAATATGCCAACTCCACAGCTTAGAACATGACTATTGAACACCGATAGAAGGAACACATATATAGAAAGAATACTTTAGCCTTTCCCATCAGAATTCAGAAAAAAAAAACTCTGTACTAGTTAAAGTTTTTACTGTTTTCTTGGCGAGAAATTCTTCGGGTCATAAATTTCGGGATACTAGAGTTGATGCATTACTTCTCATTGTGGTACATTACAAGAATTCTCGCTTCCTATTTTTGGGATAGAAGACTTTATGCATACATTATGACAACAAAGCTTAGCACATTGATGAGCTTAACACAAATCAAGAAAAGAGGGAAAACTTCCAGCAGTTCCACATTTCCTCACATAATCTAAATGCATTGTTAACATTTCAAGAACAATTAAATATCTTCTATTAACAATCATATAATAAATTAACAATAGACAAAATGCCAAATTACTGAGGTTTTGAGAAAATTATACCATGGTGCAGGAAGCTGAATGAAATGCAAGTGCGAATCCAAATCGATTTCGGACCCCGAAACTAATTTTACAGCAAAATCAAAAGATTCAATCTGATCAGCAACTTCGAGCGATCCTCGATTGTTGTAAATAGAAGGAAGATAATTCGACGGCAGAGCTGAAGGCGGAGGCGAAGGAACAACCGGAGCTTGATTTTGCCACTGATTTAGCAAGTAAGCGGAGTAGATTACGGTCGAAAATCCGATGAAAAATTGCAAGAAATTGAGGAATTTCAAATTGAATGCCAGTAATTTGTGACAACAATTGGTTCTCATTGTTTGTGTGGTGAAATTTTTGAGGATTTTGAACGAGGAAATGAGGAATTTAGGGGGAAATTGAAGGATTTTTTATTTTTTGAAGAACCCTAACCCTAAAGTTTGGGATTGCAGAAAAAGAGCGCGAGAAAAAGTGAGGAGAGCTTTTAACGAATTTGGGAGTGGAATGAATTATGGTTGAGATTTGTTATCTGGCTTACGTAATGATGACTGATGAGAACGAAGGGCAACTGTTTTTCAAATTTAGGATTTGGCATTAATGTTAAGAGGATTTCGATACTTGGAAATGTATTCATCAATTTCATATTGAGTTTATAAATTGAGTATACTTTTTTTTTTTTTGAACATAAATTGAGTTTAGGGTCTATTCTGATTGACTAAAATGAGTTGAAATGAAGTAATTAGAGCTAAACTGAACTGAACTAAATTAAATTAAATATTTTATGAGAGAAGAAAATTATGAACTGAGCTGAGCTGAACTGAACTAAATTAAATATTTTAAATTATGAACTGAGCTGAACTGAAAATAATCTAAATAGAACAAGCCCTTAGTTGACATATTTGAAAAAAAAAAAGTTTAGTTAACATAGGTATGAGGTCACGAAGAGTATGTGGGAGGTAGAGTGTGCTGAGGCAGCAGCTATGCGTTTTGGGCTCTTGGTGGCTAGGCGCTTGGGTGTGTCGCAGGTCTGGCTAAAAGGTGATTCTTCTTCTGTGTGTTCAGCAATCAAAAACGGTTATAGAGGTTGCTCGCTGATTTGGTTAATTTATGATGATATTAGCATGTTATCTAGTGTTTTAATGCTTTTATTTCATCTCATGTCAGAAGGGTAGGTAACACGATCGTCCACCTTGTAGCAAGATGGGATACTCGTGGTTGCCCTGAATAGCATAATATTGCTGCTTTTCGTTTTCCTAAAAAAATAATAAAAAATAAAGAAAAAGGTATGAGGTCACGAATAACCTAGTCTATATTTCAATTTATATTTGCTAAGTTTGATTTATAAAAAGTTTAAAAGATAAAATAAGTTTAGTCAAACAAAGTTGATTAAAAAAAAGTCAGATTTAAGTTTAATGAGCTTTCTTTTAAGAGCTTGCAAGTTATGGGTGAGATTTGGCAAAGCAACGACTAGCCTTCATAGTAGAAATTATGATCCATCATTATCTGCTATTGAGTTCAGATTTTCTTTTATTTATAATTGTTGCAATCCTAAACTCATCTTGGTGATTTATTTGTTGAATACTAACTGATTGAGATTTCTCATTTTCTTAGGAATGAGTGTTGCAATAATTATAGCTGAATTCATCTTTATATAGGTTAATGAGATGAAATATAATAAGATATGTAAAGATAGTACTTTATTATTTTACTCAAATACAGTAAATTATAACCTTGTAAGAAAATATTCAACATATATTCTCTATTAAAACGATGAGAACTTAACTCTTTTAAAGTTATAGAAAATAACCTAAGCCTGGTCATTGCGCATTAATGAATGTAGCAACTCCTTTTATCTAAATAAAAATACACAATTTTTTTACAAATTACTTGTATATAGATGCAAGGGCTTTTCCTCTCATACATCATCGATCCTTGATGTATACTCACTCTTCTAAAATATTCATATTTTCCTCAAGGATAAGAGTTTTTAAACTAAATATCATCATTCACATCAAGTGCATACAAGTATATTGTGAGGGTATAATAGTGGTGTTAAATTAAGGAAATAAATGAGTGAACCAAATCAATTAATCATAACATTTGGCACTACACAAATATTAAATCATAAGGCTTATTTGAACAAGTGTGTATATATATAAGGCTTTGAGGATAGTTAATTGAATTGAATGGTGTAAGAAAAGAAGCCGAGGAGCGGCCTCTCTAAGAGGTGGAGACATTATGCCTTGATCGGACATAATTGAGGCATAAGTTCTAGAAGTTTTAAAGAGGCCTCTCCTAAATGGTGGAAAGGTTGCGCCATTCATTTAGCTAGAGAGGCCTCTTCTATAAGGTTCCTACAAAAGATGTTACACTTTGAGGCAATAATAACTTCTTTGTCACCATGGAGAGGTCTCTCCAACATGGAGAGGTTGCACTAGTCACATGGAGAGGTCTCTCCAAATAAATCCAGAGTTTCTACAATTTGAAGCAAATATACCATTGATGCGTAACATGCATGTATAATGGTAATGGAGAGACCATGCGAATAAAGATGGAGAGGTCGCGCCCCTTCACATATGTGAATTGAATGTGTTGTTTTGCATACTATATGTCGTGACTTATTTTTATTGTCTGATTGATTTATATTAGTAAGCTTTAAGCTATATATACGTAGTTTAATTTCTCATTGCATTTATTGAAATGTAATCATTATTTATTTTTTAAAAAAATGGGTTAAAAGCTAGGGTTGGATTTAAGAATTAAATTAGTTCGTTCTTCCTTAGCTTGTTACCCTTGTGCTTAAGATCGAGAGAAATTAAATGAAAGAATTTGTTTATTGATGCTCTTATAAGCAATTAGTCATTGTTATTACAACAACAGTCTCATTGCTTGAGTGTAAGTGTGTAACATACTAACATCATATTGTCGCGATGATGACTAAACTTCATTTAATCATGTCATGTACAAAAAACAAATTAAAATAACAATCTAACAAAGCTAGACATGGAATTATGCGGTGGGGTTTTATATACAGCTTGGGTAGATATATATAGAATGATGAATTGATGATTGATATGAATATAAATAGCCCAAATAGGGTGATTTTTTTTTTTTTTGACAATGAGAACTTCATAAATAAAGGCAAATTATAATCTAAGAGATCTAAAACAAGAAATTAAAAACAACAAAACCCACTTAACTAAACCAGTAGAGGGAAAGAGAAATGAATGAATACACCCATTTGCATCATACCAAACATCTCGGAGCCCAGATAACCAAAAGGTTCTTACCAAAACCTTTTGTTGGACCAAAAGTTGCCAAACAAACCAAAACCTTGGAGAAGGACATATAATGCAAGCGAACACTAAAGAAGGGAACCGAAACTTAGCATAATCCTTATGAAAAATCCCGGCGGAAGAAGTGTAGAGACAATACACCCGAAAATCAAAAGCCCCCTGTTGCTGAAAAAAGGACCCATCACCCGACTCCACTCCTAGGGATTCACCTCCTAAGAGTCCGGGAGCCAAACCATGAGAGTCGAATTTTTTCACGACTCTACCAAGAGAAACCTTACACCAAAATGTAGGTTTCTTTCCTGCAATTCTACCTATATAGAATGCAAGAAGATGGAGGACTTTGCTTACCCCAAATATTAAAGATGGGGAGCCTCCTTCAAGATTGAAATAGCCCAAATAGGTTGGACATTAGGATAATGCATCATTGATTTACGCTCAAATTTACTTTAAAACTGTTTTGGAAATAACTTTTCATACCCAAAATGTATGTATGGACTCAGGATTCATGCATGATTGAGTCTATTTCCGTTAGTGAGTACAGTTATAGTGCACAATGTAAACCAACTCATTACGCTACATTTTTTTTTTTTTTTTTTGGTGTTTAGAGAGCCACAAGGATGGATGATAATAATCGATCCCAGAATCAACTGGAATCGGTAGGGAGAAGCTCAAACCACATGAATTATCCCTTACTCTCTCAACGCATTATGCTACATACACACGCCACTTATGCACTAATGATTTCGGAGCATGAATCCAACTATTTATTGCTAACTATTTGAAGGACAGTACTTTGATTCAATTTGAGTCTTGTTCGAGTATACTATATTAGATCGATCATGATATATAAAATGACCTTCATTTTCAGTGTTGATGAAATATTTCCCTTAATGACCCTAATCTATATTAAGCTACATTATATACAACAGCGTATATTATAAAGCTGGCAATGAAATAATATATGTAGCAAAATTGCTATTAATGGTCCATAATGTTGGTACATATAATTGTTGGATCCATCATTATAATCGATTAAATTCAGCAACTAAATTGGAGTACTAATTAATTTTTTCATGAATTAGATTTCCATCATATATCTTATGTCCAAAACAAACAATTATCACTTAGTTTGTGAAGACAACACTTTCAAGATGCTAAGGCAAGCAGTAAACACCGTTGCCTCAACTACTTGACTAATCAGTCACGATGAAGAGCGTAGGGTTCTAGTATATACTTCATACATTTTACTACACCACAAATATTTGTATTTAATGTGTTTGTAATTAATTATAATTTGTACTAGTTTAATGAATTAGGAAATATAGTCACATTTTATAAATAGAAGTAGAACGTGCTAATATTATTAGTCTTGTCTTTCACTTAAGTCTTGCTCTGTTCACCTTATAACTTTTAAACATTGATTTCAATAAAAATAAGTTCATATCAATGTTATTAATTCAGGTTAGATATGTTCAAAAAAACAAAAAAGAAAAAAAAAATCAGATCACATAAAATGTGGTTAGAACTATCTAAGTATAATGCCCTTTTAAGATATGTTTAACAAGTTAAATTAATTTAACTAAATTCAGATAAATTCAATTCACCCGATTTTCAATAATCTAAATTAAATAATGAACTTAATGTAACCTATGTGAACTTATCAAAAACCTTATCAGAACTTACTTGAAAGATAAAATAAATTTGAATAGCTCTTATCAACCCGTATATCTTAAACTTACTAGGAAATTTTGTGAAAAACTACCTATTATAATCCAGAATTTGCGAGAAACTACCTATTAAAAAAAATGTTGTAATTGACTACCTAATTTTCGAAAAATGTTGTAATTTACTACCTTACGCCGGATTATGAAGGAGTTTGACCAAAGTTCTCCGGTGTTGACTTGGTCACGTGATCATCATGTGACACTTAATGACCCTTTTCTTTCACCAAGTGTCACGTGACCAAGTCAACGCCGGAGAATTTTGGTCAAACTCATTCATAATCCGGCGTAAAGGTAGTAAATTACAACATTTTTAAAAAATTAGGTAGGCAATTACAACATTTTTTTTAATAGGTAGTTTCTCGCAAATTATGGATTATAATAGGTAGTTTTTCACAAAATTTCCAACTTACTATATGTAGAAAGATGAATTATTGAACATAGCCTAATTTTATAAGTTCACGTGCACTTGAAAATAAAATTAAGTAAATAGAATGTAGCTTAGTTAGTTGTGATCATATTAAAAATAAGTGGCCTATTAATCAAGGATATTCAGGTTGGTTATGGTTAATCCGATCTAGTGACCATCTCTACCTGGGCCGACTCGCTAATAATGCACTTATCAACCCCGGTTGACTTCTCTTGTGAGAGAGCAGTGGGAAGTGTTGAGGAGTTGTTTGCCGACCATAGTTTCAGTCACTTGAATTTGTTGATGTTACTATTTTGTACGAGTACCATCACTATTTAGCATGAGATATATATTTACATTTTAACTCACGTACATAATATTTCTACTCCGTTACAAAATAGTACTAATAGCTTCCAACTAAAAGGTGACATTTTATTGGAGATTTAATTTCAGTGTACTATATAGTGTCAGTTTTTGAAAATGACATAATTTAGCCAATGTACAAGAAGCTTAACTAACTATGTGGACATTTATAAGTGCTTTTGCCAGAAAATTTATTAAAAAAAAATCAGATGAATAATGATGAGTTGTCATTGAGATCCAATATGATGTAAGCTAGGGGCCATTGGCCATAGTAAAAATTTATTAATTTTTTTCCTTCCAAATTTATGTAAGAAACAATTTACAGTATTTTAAGAGTAATTTTTAGGAAAATGCATGCATGTCCTCATGTGTTAGTTTTCGTAAGAAATAAGATTCCTCTAAAAAAAAGTAAAAATAATTTAAAGAAACTTTTTTCGAGTTATTATCAATAATTTAAATAAATAAATAAATGGAGTCACAAAATTATTATGATGTTGTGTTGATCCAAAATATGGATAAGAAGTTTTATATAAAATAAAGTATAATCCATTCATATTGATTTTAGTGTCTTCTTGAGTCGTAATAACTCAATTAGCTTCATATCTGATTAAAATATTTAATTAGGTATTTGATGATCATATCATAACCCTCACGAATTTTTGCTTGGTCGGAGACTTAATTTTCATCTAGTGAGTCAAGCCTTATTTAGTATTATATAGTGATTTGATTATGTGGTCATATTGTTTAGGTAACACGATCGATACATTACGTAGTATATGCAAAGTGCATGAGTTGTACTACTCCGATCTAATAATAAGAAAAGAAGAATTCATCTCATCTCATCACTCTAAATAATTTAAGAGAAATTGTGGCCTACACATTCATCTCACAACTGTCACAAGAAAATCCACCTTTTAGTTATTCCTATTCCAAGTTCTTTAATAGCAATGTAATAAAAGAATTGAGCGCTTTAAAAAGTTCACATATATGCAATGAAATGAACCTTGAAAGAAAGAAACCTAATAATAAGTCTCACATATAATTGCTAAGAATAATGCTTAATTAAAGTGCCTAAACAGGCTAAACTTATTAGGTAAATAGGTACTACTTAGGGGTCTGTTCACATTTACTGAACTCAGCTGAATTGAACTGAATATTTTTATGAGAGAAGAAAATTATAAACTGAACTGGATTAAACTGAATTGAAATTAAGTTGAAGTGAACAGACCCTAATATTTAAGAGTGCCAAAAATGGGGTTGAATGAAGTAGTGCTCCAAAATGGGGTGAATTGGTTTAAGCAAAATGAAAAGGTGGGAGACAAGAGTAATTTTTAGCTTCCTTAGCTAATAATTATAATTAGAGTGACATTAAATTAAATGACTAACGGCTAGCACCTTAAGACTCAATAAAGATTATTTATTCCCTCACTCGTAATACATCCGGCTTCAACATCTGGCGATCCACCTCACGTTCTTTTAAGGATAATCTTCATTAAAACAGTTGTTGTTTGGTGGTTAATGTTGTAATGTTCGGAGTAATAATTAATCTTGATTAGAGTTAATGAGTTAGCACTTATTGGTTTTAATGCTCTACATCTAGATCAATGATTCGTGAATTTCAAAGAAGAGTCTAAATAATCACCTCATTATTATTACTACTTAAAGGACAGACCAAACATTTTTAGAAACATAGAACATGTTTCCCAAAAGCCTTTCCATAGTTATACATAAGTAGAGATTTTAATTGTGCAAAAGAGAAAGAGTGCGTGGTTAAATAGCAACTATGTAGATTCAATTTTCCAAATTTGTCTGCTCTAAATTTTCATCCATAATAATTCTTCATTTTCTACAAGTAGATGGATGTTCGTTAATTATTTATTAATTAAACATCTTTCGATATTGTAAATATTAGGGTTATAACATATATAAGACATGTAATTAATATGGTATACTCGAGATCTTATATGATCTTTTTATTTTTCTAATAATATTTTTAAATAGCAACTTTTTAAAAAAATGAGATTCTAAAGTGAAATCAGAGAAAGTACTTTAAAGTTCGATTCTAGAACAACAATCTTATGGATAAACATGTAAAATTTTGTTGTATGACTTGTATCATTGGAATAAATTAGGGAATCTTAAAAAATTGTACAATTTATTTGGTCTTAAAGTCTGTCTTTTCTAAGTGTCGATTTCTTACTTAAAAAAAGTGTCGATTTCTATATTGACCCTTAATAAGCTATTTATCGGAAAAAAAAAAGAAGTAGAACATATTGTACTTTGTTAATTTCGTGTACATTCATCTTTATAAAGTTGATTGTTTAGTCCTTTTACGAAACTTTTTATTATTTGCAAGTTCCTCTAACAAGAAAATTATTAAGGAAAGCATGGTAGTGATTTAAACATTTTGTCAACTATGTTATAGCTGCATATATATATGCCCCCTAGTTGTCTATTTCTTTGAACAAAAGTTTACTATTGTGCAATGGCCAATTTATTGGCCAAATCATCGGAAAAAGGGTACAAGCTAATTAAATTGTTGCTAATCTTAGCAACAAAAGTCATAAACAATTAATTTTGTTCGAAATATACCAATAACATGGACATGTTACTTTCCAAATAAGTGATGATCATATACAGCCCATCTTCAGATCATATGTTCATAATCTATTGAGTATTGAGAATAAAGTATTGTTAATCATTAAAGTAAAGTACTTTTACTATAAATACATAAATGGTTACAATATATGCAATCATAGGGATATGTTATGTATGTTCACCAATATTAACTAATACGGAGTATAATCTTAGAACAGGTATACACATGAATGAAATTCGCTAGTATTTAACAATTTTCTTTATAATGCAATATATATTTACAAATTAATGCAAGATTAAAACAAGCCTATATTATTGCAATCATGGAAAAACAAATGAACACAAGTATATTAGATATATATTGAAAAAAACTCCAAAAATTAATTAAGACATGCTAAAAAAAGGTTAAGTAATTAGTGTCCAAAGAATCTCCACTTGAACAAGCCAATACAAACTTACATAAACTTAACACATGGACCACACTTTGACACACACAAACTACAAAGTACTACAAGCAAAATCAAACCCATTGATATAAAAGTAGTACATAATATTAGTGATAATGTTATATTCGAAGTTACCTTTATTTTGGTCACAATAATTTTGGTATATATGTAAATGCAATATCACAATTATGTACTATTACATCAATGGCTTTGAAGAAAGTTAGTAAGAAAATAACCAAATAAAAGTATAACAGCATTAAAATGACAAGATTGTAACACTTATTTATGTCCACAATTTGCTATATACCTATAATTGACCACCTTTATCATTTAATATTTCATGCAATTTTATTTGTTTCTCCCTTTTTTTTTTTATTATTAATTTATTAATTTTCTTCTTCATTTCTCTAGCCCCCCTTTTTGCTACGAAGTTGTTGGCATTGTTAGTACACTATACAACTATGTAGGTGGTAGAGAAGAAGGCCATTTAATAAGTCTCCCATACTTTTGATATTACTATTTCTTATATTTTTCATCTATAAAATCCCACTTAGCTCATAGTGTTACTCCACACTTCAACACTATATTTTTATACAATATAGTTTTTATACATTACTACATATTTATACTAGATAGTTTTTATATACATTATTCCAAAGTGAGTAACTTAACTAGCTTAGCCATGCATTGTGGTGTTTCATTCTCTAGGGTTATGTCCTTGAATGCTATGTTGTGCATTGCAACATTTTTTTTAACCTTGGTTTCAACTCATGTTGAAGCTCAAAGAGCTTTTTTCGTGTTTGGCGATTCACTAGTCGATAATGGCAACAACAACTACTTGGTCACTAGTGCTAGGGCCGATAGGCCACCGTATGGGATCGATTCTCCGAATGGACCGACCGGCCGGTTCTCCAATGGCCTCAACATCCCGGATCTCATTTGTAAGTCATCACTTAGCTAAAAGAGTACAAGTACTATATAGAAACTATCGTTATAAGACTTCTAAAGTAGCATTGCATTGCATGTATAGGCTTTTTCAGGGGTCCCCCCAACAATTTTAAAGGTCTTTTTGAGAAAATAAATAATTGAAACATCTTTTTCTAAGTAGAAAATTCTGAATTTGTTTGTAATGGATATCTTCCCAACGTAGATTTGCAATCATTATACCCTTGTATAATAACTATATAATATCTAAAAATAATAATAAAAAAAAATATTGTTGTAAATTTTGTTGATGTTACTCAAGAAAAAATAGTGCCCATCATACAAATTCAATTCATAGCATGAGCTTTAATATCCATTTAACAATGCAATATAATTTTTAGTTTTATTTTTGAGCATGGACATACAAATGTATAAACTATTTATCAAGCTAGGCTTATTGAATTGCTTTAAATCAATTATATGGAGTAATTATACATAAAATGACAATTATTTTCTTGAAAAAAATTACATAAAAAAAATGTTACTTTATATTTTTTTGTTTTTTTTTATTTTATTTTATTTCTTGACTAAATTTGCTCATTCCTTCTTTTTTCACTCCTTTGGATGTAATCAATGCATCAATACGGTGTTAAATAATGATGATTTGGTACTTAGTATTAAGGTTATAAGTCTAATGCTTTAAATATATAGGGAAAATATGTCATATATTTTTTATTATTATTATAACTACAACATTTTATAATCATCATCAAGTATATAAACTTTTTTTTTATCTTGTTTAAAAGTAGCATCTTACATTCTTTCGTATCATACGTACAATGTATGTATATCATATGACCTTATTACAACTTTTTTTGATAATTCATGACCTAATTAAATAAAGAAAAGTAGGAGCTAGTATTTATGATTATTAAAAAAAAAATGCTTTATTGACTTAAACGTGGTTGATGGAATTGCATTAGGTGAGCAAATTGGAACAGAGCCACTACTACCCATCTTGAGCCCTGAGCTCACCGGAGAAAGACTTCTGGTTGGCGCGAACTTTGCTTCTGCCGGAGTTGGGGTTCTTAATGACACTGGGATCCAATTCGTAAGTTTAAATCCTTTAATTGGATATACTATATGACTACGAAACAAACTTTTCTCATTCCATATTATTCGTCTATTATAAACATCAATGCCCTATCATTGTCAAATGTAAATAATACTCCGTAACTAATACACTAGCATTTTCAAAACACTGAAAAATATACACCGTTAATTAATTAATAAAGTACTAACCGAAGAGTGCGTGACGTGTTTTAGTGGTCTAATTAACATGCTTAACAAAATATTTGCTCTCTATAATTATAGTACAAATGTACAATATTACATTTCTCTCAATGTGTCCAAATTATATGTCTCGCTATTTATTGATAGACAATAATCTTCATTTTTAGTTTTAGTTTTAGGGATCATGTGCATGTGGTGTACGTATAATAATATCAGTATACGTAACTTTCATGCATTACTTTCTTTGCTGCTTCTTTTTTTAGCTAGCTATTTAATAGGGACATTATGGCAATTTACGTTCATCTCACCAGCAAAAAATAGACTAATATAATATGTATATAAATACCAAAATTGCATTTATTAAATGGATCTATCCTAATAAAGTTGTGCAATAATAATTTTGGTGATATATCCTAGCTAGTTGTAGAATAGCTCAAATTCTTTTCCAATTTTCTATTTATCACGGCTATAGGTAGCACTAGAAAGTGACGGCCTCGCTCCCCTAGAAGGATTTTTTTGTAAAATGAACCAATCATATACGTGACTTATTATTTCGAGACATGAAGAATAATTTAGTAATCACGTTATTCTAATTTCTTACTTTCTATATTAATTGTTTTAGATTAGCTTTTGACCTCGTAACAAAATTGACATCATGGTGATGAGATTTCGACTCATCAACCAATCCCTTTGTTGATCACTCGCTCAATCTCAAAACACGTCAATTTCATATCCTATTTCTTAAAATATTGTGTAAATTGACACTTGCCAATATTAATTTAGATAAATAAAATGACATTTTTTGCATATGATTAGACAATTATTGATAATTAATATTCTTTATTCTAAATTGGGAATGCTATAGGTGAATATTATAAGGATAGGCCGTCAATTGGAGTTGTTTGAGCTATACCAACAAAGATTAGCCGGGCTAATTGGAGAAGAACAAGCACAAAGCCGAGTGAATGGAGCTCTTGTGCTAATTACACTTGGTGGCAATGATTTTATCAACAATTACTTCCTCCTTCCAATCACGGCTAGGCGTCTTCAATTCCCCAATCTTGAAGACTATGTTGATTATGTCATCGGGGAGTATAAAGGGGTTTTATCTGTAAGTTTTTATATCATAATAATTGTCCGCTATTCTATATTATTTATTTTATTCATAAGGCAACGAAAAGAAATCTAAATTAAATAATGCACGTGACAATTGTCAATGTATCATTTATGGACGTATGGTAGATTGATAATGTATCATCAAGTGATAACTTTTACTAGGCAATATTTATTGGTATACCGAGATACAAGTAATTTTAGCTAAGTTAATATTATTCTATCAGTAGATCGGCTAAACTTGTGTGTTGACAAATACACAGAGGCTTTATGAGTTGGGAGCAAGGAGAGTATTGGTTACCGGAACTGGACCAATTGGATGTGTCCCTGGTGAGTTAGCCTCACAAGGTAGTCGAAATGGCGAATGTGCCCCTGACCCGCAACGAGCCGGTGCCCTTTTCAACCCAAAGTTAACCCAAATGATTCAAAGCCTAAACAGCGAAATTGGCTCTGATGTTTTCATTGCCTCCAATACCGGTGGAATGTTGAATAATTTCCTTGAAAATCCTCAAGCATTCGGTAAGTTACGTTATCAAATAATGTTATCTATTTGTTTTAGGTTACTAAATTAACCTGATATAAGCATTAAATACACTGTCAACTCGAATATCCAGTTCACTTTTGTATTTTCTATCATAAGAATATTAAAGCATTGTTCTAGTAGGGCTGAAATAATTAAAGGCACATAGGGTTGGTTATGGAAAGACTAATGGCTACGTAGCCTACATTTGATGGGGGTGGTTATAAATAATAAATTCTCTTTTTGGAATTTTGTAGTATAGTATGAAGAACCATCATTTATGAGGGAATATTGGTAAATTTTACTAGTAATAATAACATTCTTTCATATATGCTTGTTCTAATTTTTCTAGAATTAAAATCATATAAACTTGATGTATAATTATATGTAGTTGATATATTACCCATTTAATTAAGTAAAATGATGAGTATGATCACGTATGCTTTTCTATATTATATTAGAAAAAATATTTTATATCATGTAAATTATCCAGTAAATAAATATAACACGCACTTTGAATAATTTTATCATGATTGCTTCATACTGCTTTGATTTTATTGACACGACCTTGATAGATAAGAAACCTTTTTTATCCTCTAATAAATAGCCACCAAAGTTGGTGATTCTACCCCAAATTAAATGCATTAATGAGTAAATTATTTAATTGTGACAGGATTTGAAACATCAAAGGTAGCATGTTGTGGCCAAGGACCCTACAATGGGTTAGGACTATGCACAGTTGCATCAAATGTGTGCCCTGATAGAAATGTCTATGCATTTTGGGATGCATTCCATCCTACTGAAAGGGCTAACCGGTTCATTGTCCAGCAGATGATGATCGGGTCTGTCGACCACATGAGTCCCATGAACCTTAGCACCATCTTGGCTGTTGATGCTGCTAAGAAACCTTAGCTAGCTTAGTGTTGCATTGGTTGCTTAATTGCTAGATTGATAATGTCATTATATTATTACTATTCCTAGCTATATATGTACTTTTGGTGCTATCTATCTTCTTTCAAGTGTAATCATCTATATTTAGGTTGCAAAATTAGTAAACTAAAAGTGGCATGAAAAGTTGTTATATTAGGCATGCATTGTTTGTCGTCCTTCTTTATGGATTGATCGAACTACAATAATGTTGTAATCATTCAACTTTTATTCAATCAAATGTATCAAATTTCGATTCTGAATGAGTTTTGTTACATTATTTATTTTCGTTTATATAATTTCTTTTTTTTTTTTTTTGAATAGATATAATTTCTTTTTAACTTTGTGCAAGTATATTATATTTTTTACACTTAAAGTACTTAAATTAAAACACTTTTCTTACAAAGTACGTATTTGTTTTTAAAATTTGGACCAAAAAATCACAAATATGTTTGTTCATAGAAAAAAAAAATTCTTAATATTAAAAGTGCAACTAAGTTTGGCAGTGTGTTCTATGTCGTATGATAGAAAAAAATAAAATAAAAATTAAAAAATAAAATAAAATAAAATAGTTTTGGACCCATTAAGTGACTTCTACTTATAAAATTTTGTGAGTTATTGCTAAGGTCTAAATCTTATGCGACTAATTAGCATAGAGGTCCTTATTATTAATCATATACAAATATGAACAAACACGATGTACAAATTTTATAAAAGTTTGATCTAGAATGAGCAACTATATATTTGGTTAATCACGAGATTAATGAAAATGAAAGGTCCCTTTCACTATTGGCTTAGAAATTAAGGATCGTTTAAAGGAATTAAGTAGCAATGTGCTTAATTAGGTAAGGTTTAAAGTTAGTTGTAGAAGGGGCCGGGGTGTTTGTTTTATCTATGGTGTGTAGTTTGCTATCAATCAAAAGATTTCAAGGTAACATTACTAAATTAATGACAAACAAGAGTTGGCTCAAGTGGTAAGCTGACTGATGTTGTTTAACGGAGGTTTCGAATTCGAGCCTCATCGAATGCTTACAACTCTTGTTGGGAGACTTATCCACCATAAGGCAGGTGTGCAACTCGAGTCAAATCTGAATGTAATTAGAGCTAAGCTCTGATAAACCGGGTGGGGAAAACTCAAAACTAAATAAACAATGCTAGTTTTCTAAATTAAGAAGATCTAACAAATCCATGCAATTATATCAAATTGTAATTACTAGCAAAAGTAGGGGTACGGTTTGAATATTATTATTAAAATTGAGGTCATCATTGAATGTATAATGATATGTGAGAGTAAGATTTGAATATAAAAGTAAAATTAGGGATGTGATGTCAACGTGGGTTGTTATAAGCATATAATGAGCTTTCGACTTGTAGCAAATTAAACCGCAAGTTTATGTCTAGAGGTGTTTTAGCAATATCCTTGAAAAAAGTGGTTCGAGTGGGAGGGGGCCAAGAAAGATATGATGAAAAAGCTACTCAGATCATACTACGTTTTGACTTACCTAATATAATATCAAATCAACTACAGTATTTTTTATTTTAGGCGGTATTTAAAGCACGCATTAACAAGATAGTCAAAAGTTACTACAACTATTTAATTTAAAACTTTTGGAGAGACTAACACATTAATCAATAACTACTCCTTATGACCTATATGTGTATTGATCTAGCTTGATTGTAAAAGTAACTTGTTCTAGCTCATTAATCACTTATAATGTACAAATTTATAAATGCAATAGTATTAAATATTCCAACTCGAAAATTAAAAGCATGTAGCACAAGATTATCAACACTACAACTTGCTTGGTTGATTGTTGCCATTGCAACAATCTATCATCATATCATACCATAACATTATTTGAATAATGATCTACTAAAAATACTATGTAGGGCTAAACAATTTATGGTAAAGAGCCAAAGAGGGAGAGTAGATCTAGGTATTAAATTGTGCTTGAAGGTTAGTTGTGATGCTATATCATATACTCCATAAAAAAAATTTAGTTTATTTCTTAAAGTAGATCCACCATTAAGATATTCTTGATTATAGTTTTCTTCTTTCATTTTTAATTTATCCTGTTGTCTTTTTAACTTGAACTATGCTATTTTTTGTCAAACAAAATTGTAATCACTCCCCCACCCTTTTTTTTTTTTTTTTTTTTTTTATTAATAAGTATGTATTCATAAGGTGGAGAACAATTTTAGAAAGATGAGAATCTAAGCTATATACAAAAGATAAATTCCTATCAAAGTTAGTTTCTTTAAAACTTATTGATGATAGGTGTACGTGGTAATCCCAACAAAATTATATGTTAATGTTCCTCTTCTTCTCTTCAACTTGGGATTGTTATTCTCAACTCAAATGTGAATTATTATTTTTACACTTCTACATTTACCTAGTACATGAATTATCTGTTTATTTACACGTACGTTTTGCATAAGACGTACATAAAATTAAATATAAACTTTATATCCATGTGAAATGGTCTAGTGGTAGTCTTGGCAGATAAGAAACTCTTTTGTTCTCTAATCAATAGCCACCAAAGAGTTGGTAGCATCACTAAATACATTAATGAGTTATGTACGTTAAATGTGATAGATAGGTTTTTAAACATCAAAAAATCGAATAGCATGTTGCTGTGGGCATTGGGCAAGGACCCTACAATGCTACAAATGGGTTCGTATGCCTTTTGGGACTCATTCCAAATGGACCCTACAAATGGCTAGCTAACATATAGTCAAGTAACTCAAGTACATTGTTGAATGTTGATGTTGAGAATAGTGGAAGTAAAAATACTAGCATACTAGCAATAGAAAAAATTGTACAAACAAATTAAAGGTCATAGACATTAAAAACAATAACAAACGATATTTATCACAAAAAAAAAAAAAAAAAAAAAAAAATTCTTTGCAAACTAATAGGGAAAAAGTCATAGTTTCTCGATACTAACTAATTAATATTTTTACAAAAAAAAAGGGGGGTGAATTGAACTCATGATGAGTCTAATTAATGTCAGATATTAAATTATTAATGTTAAATGTATTGGACTCGCGGTAAGTCCGATCTCACATAAAACGTTCTCATATCTTTAACAACCCTCACCACACCCTTGAATTACAACTCACACCCATCAAGGAGGTAAAGGTGTTTGTAATTTGTCCCTTCTGAGTCGCACCCGCAACCAAAAGATAGTCAAGACGACAGGAGGTTCCATCCCAAAACCATACGACGCGACAACAGGATGAGTAGCCCCTTAGCCTTATACAATATTTAAGACTCTCTTCTTTTTCTTAATATAGAACACTTATATGTGTTATTTGGGAAGTTTATACTTCAACATAAAATCCTACCCTTTCTCCCAATCTCCCACTAATTATCTTTCGCAATTAATTACAAATATGAATTGTAAGTGCCGTAAAATCTATATCAATATAAAAGTTACGCAACTCCACGCCACTCTCGAATCTTGGTTGCGGGTTAGGTCATGATGTGCCTAGTTGGCCATGGTTAGGTCCCGAACTAGCTTAGGTAGCCCAACCCTAGCCTGTGAACCTCTTTTTGCTCACCAGCTTCATTTCTTCACAATCCAAAAACTCAAAATTCACCTCGTGTCTTTGAACTGTACTTACCATGTTGAACTTTTGGGTTAGTTTGTGAACTCTACCTATGGATCAAAACCCTTAATATAATTAACCTTAGCTTGTTCATATTTGAGTTGTTCTACATTGAAAACAATATGAAGAAGGACATGTTCTCTTCAGCTTAATTTCAGTTCAGTTCAGTTCCTAATTTCTTACTTTCATAAACAATTCATTTCAGCTCAATTTAGTTCATTTGAGTTCATTAGATCAGAATAGACCCGAAATAGTTTAATTACAACTCTAGCTTAAAGAGTTAGTGTTGGTGTCATACATAAATAAGGAAATAGCCCTTACTTTTTACATGCAGTCATACAATATTCTTTCATAATGGTGGGTGAAAACCACACATCTAAGCATGGAGCTACCTCTATTACCAATATATTTCATTTTTGAAATGATAACTCCTTTTTCTTGTAAGTGGATTAAATTGAACTCCCCTTATTAGTAGTAGGTTATCCAAGCTCATTTTGCATTCTTTATAAATTTAACATACACAAGTATATGTTATCATCCAACAATTGCTAGTTGATGTTCGGGTTGTTTCATTAATCATATGATCCCTATAAACAACCTAAACGCTAAAACCATCTTTACTATGGATAATACGGAGTATTAGCTTAAACCTAATTAAATTTATTATTGTTTTGAGGTTCTATATTGTCCTAGCTAGTTATTACTCCTTAAAATTAGGTAGAATTAGCCTCAAATACTGATTTTTATTTCTATGCCTAGGTGTATGTACTTTTGGATCTTTGACCTCTATCAAGTGTAATCATGAATTATCAAATGGCTCGAAATGTTGTTTTGTGTTGTAGCCTGCCTTGTAGGTACTTCTTTCATGGGTTAGTCTAAGTAGAATAATAATAAATACTTAATGTTGCAATAAATTGATCAAATGTTTTCAAGAAATTCTATAGAAAAAAATCAAAACACCCCTTAAAAAGAAATTTTCAAATAAAAATTACAGTAACTACTTATTTTAAAAAATGTAATTGTTGAAACTCATTGTAGTCCACTTATGAATGTCCCACATTGGAGAAAGAGGAGAGATGGTTTCACTTTATAAGGTAGAGGAGTACCTCCTACTATTGCCAATTGGTTTTAGTATGGAAGCTCCAAAGCCTAATTTATATATATATATATATATATATATATATATATATATATATATATATATATATATATACATTATTGTACATGCAAGGTTTCTTCAAAAAATAAATTGTATACGCAAGGTCAAAGTTTAGTCAAATCAGACAATCACATTAGATAAAATCAAATCGATCGGCAAAAATAAGGTGAAATAAACAAGCCTTTATTTTCTTTTTTAATAGAAGCAAGACTTAAATCAAATTGAAATATATTAACGTATGGATTTTGCTAACGAGCGCCCCGTAGCGTTAGATAAGGAATATTTATATTGGTTAAAATAGTACTCGTATTTAGTTAGGAAAGCATGACAAAATCATGCTTCATTCAGTGTAATTAATGTTAGTTTTATTTTAATAATTTCACTTTTATTTCTCTTATCTAACGCATCGGGGACGCTCATTAGCTTTTGCTTTAATATATATATATTCTTTGATTATAATTAAGGCCCGTTCAATTCACATATATATATATA